TTTGCCTATTTATTTAATTCTCGTACGATAACCTGCCCCATGTACCGTCATAGAAAGATCAGTTCTGTGGACAAACTGTTAAATATTATAATCAGTTGCAATTTTAAGAAATGAATTCGCAATGTATCACATCGATGTGCAGATATATAAATAGATACGTTGTTGCTTTTAGAAAAACTCAAACACTCAGTAGAGTTTTGTGGTTCATAACATAAATATCGTTACAGCGGGGAATGCAGGCAAAGTTTCAGGCTATTATTTTAAGTCCCTTCTGGTCATATAGCTTATAATGCTCCTCAGTATTTAAGTATTTATACATTCTTGGCTTTCAAATCTTTGGAATTTGAGCTGTGCTGGTAAAAGTAAGGTCAGAAAAACGCTTCAGACGCACCAAATGTTTATCTTCATTTCATTTCACTAGGCCAATACCGCTGGTCCCTGAGTGTATAATCAGCTCAGTAGTCAGTGATTTTGTACTGACATGATTAACACAAAAGTGTAACATACCTATCTTAAATTCTACGTTCAAAAGTTCAGAAATTATTAGAAAAAAACCTCGTGCAAATAAAAAAATAAAATAAAGGAGTAAGAAGATGTGGCATGATTGCCAACGAAACGACTCTCCACAAGAGACCAAACGACACAGAAATTAACAACTATAGGTCACCGTACGGCCTTCAACAATGAGTTAATCCCATACCGCATAATCAGCTATACAAGGCCCCGAAATGACAATTGTAAAACAATTCAAACAAAAAAACTTACGGCCTGATTTATGTACAAAATAATGAACGAAAAACAAATATGATATACAGAAACAAACGACAATCACTGAAATACAGGCTCCTGACTTAGGACAGGCGCATACGGAAAGTGGCGGGGTTAAACATGTTAGCTGTCGCCAAACCCTCCCCTAACATGGGACAGTGGTGTAACAGTACAACATATGAACAAACTATAAAAATCAGTTGAAAAGGGCTTAACTTATCAGATCGATACAAAGCATAACAACAAGTACCAAAAACACAGAGTGGACGTGGCAGGGTACTTATACATCCCCACAACAAAAAGACACTAAGTACAGATCTGGTTATACTCGCAGTTACTGACACCTAGTTCAAAGCCAATAACAACTAATAAAAAAAATCATGCATCTTAGACTAAAACGTTGACATAATGTTGGCTTAGCTATACTTTTTAATTCCATTAAGTTAAGCTCTTCAGGTATTCAAATGTTCATGCATTCTTGGATTTCTATTTAAAAAAAAAATAGTTTGATCGTTTCTGATAAAAGTAAATCAAGAAAAATGCTTAATTTATTAATTTGTCTTATCATTTTCTTAGGAATCAACGGTGATTTTAAGAAGTGTATGCAATTAAATATGTCAGTACCAATCACTGCATTACTACCTACCTAATGACACTCTCAGTGACTATGACTAGCAGACTACCAGCAGCGGTACCAAACCAGTGCTAGGAAATGAAATTAATTTTTATAAAATCAATGAGTAAATTACGTTTATAACTTCCTCTAACAAGTGTGACCTTATATGGATTCGACTGTTCTTTTTGTGTCCCTTTCGGTCATAAAGCTAAAGCTCCGCAAGTAGTTATAGATCCTTGGTTTTAAAAAACTTGGGTGTGGATGTTTCTAATGGAGGTTAATCCAGAAAAATGGGACGTCTTTTTTTGCTGTACAAGGTGTATAAAGGGACAGTCACGTTCGGTTGGGTTTTTTTTTGGACGTTGAACCACCTAATAAGGGGCACTTAGGTAGCCTGTCGCAATGCAAAATTTCGCATCCTATCTAAGACACCTTCATTTTCCAGTGTAGCCTAAAACTTTCCGTCTTTCATCTCAATCAACATTCCTTTCAGAACTTATCTGTTGTTTAACTGTTCAATTGCCCTCGTCCTGAATGTGTAGGAAAGATTTAACACCACTGAATGTTAAAGAAAACAGCAATCAAACAGTCAGTTCCGTGGGTCCCAGTCTTCCAAAATTTGAAATGGAACATGATCTATATTTTGATAAATATAAGACAAAAGTTATAACTTTCGAAAGATTTTTCCAAATGCTTTGATACAACTTTAAGATATTTGCGATTTATATTACATATACTGAAAAATATGCTTCTCTATCTGACCTTGGTAATGTTTTTTAATATCTAGAAAAAAATGTATTGAAATATAAAGTTATGTTTATTCGCTAAGTTTAGAAGACAAAGACAATGTCCTAGGCCTCGAATTTGCAAATAACAATTGAAACAGCAGAGACTACCGTAGATGTACTATCAATACTTACTTCTTTAAAAGACAAAAAAGGAAAAATAAATAGAGTCAAGATCAGTGATTATGAGAGAGTGGGTTGATTTGACATTATTCATAGGACATTCCAGTTAAAGACATTAAACTACAAAAAAAATAAGGAAGTTGCATCTTTGTCAATATTAAGACATGAAAAAGATATTTTTGCTTTCAATTGTAATAATTTATCAACTTTTTATCTTTACAGAATTGGATAAATTAGCATTGCCTTTTTTCTAGGGCTGTGATTAAAGCGTAGGCTATAAGGATATGTGTATCGTAGTTTTTGGAACAACATCACTGCCTTATAAGAAGAAACTACTGTGACATGTCAAAACAATTCTACTTCATATGAATTCTCCATCACTTCATCTGAAATCTTCATCATTTGGTATGAAAACACTATTTAATGATCTGAATACTTCATTACATGATTTGGTTACTTCTTTACATAATGTGAAAACTTCATTACGTGATTTAATAATTTAATATCGTGATCTGATTACATCCTCACGTGATGTTGTTACTTCATTATGTGATGTGGTTTACAGTGACCTACTTTTACTTGTACGCTGACATTCTATCCCTGATGCATCTGTATAGTTGCTGAGATTTGAACATGAACGTTTAACTTAACAAAAGGCGCCGAAGCATAAAATGTTGATCACAGTGATATACTTTCATTTAGATGCTGACCAACTATCCCTGATACATCTGTACACAAGGTTACATGATCCTACCATGTATATAGCTGACAATCGAAATGAAAACAGATCTCTCATTGCTCCCGTTTCCTGATATGTCGCGTGAAAGAGCTAACAAAACCTGGTTGGACGTCATATGTGAGTAGCATGGAACTTATGAATTTATGACGATATACAAATGAGTCGACCTCGGATCGATAAGCCAATCAAACACGTCCTCTGTTTTTGACGACTGACGATTTCTGCGTTTGAAAAAGGAGTCACATTCCTTAACTATTCGATAAACTTTCAAGATCGTGAAAGCCGTAATTTCATTGGCCGAACAGGACACACCTACAAGGTCAGTTTGGAATTAGATAGAGTTGCTTGAATATGAAATCATGATCTTATCATGTATTGTTTCTGAGATATGAACTCAGACGTTAATTTTAACCAAAGGCACTTATCATGAAATGTAGTTCACAGTGACCTAGTTTCACTTGGATGATGATCTACTATCCCTGATGCATCTGTATACAGGGTTACATGAGCCTTCCATGTATAGTTGCTGAGATATGAACTGAACAGATGCACTAGGGATAGTAGGTCAGCAACAAATCAAAAATAAGTCAGGCCATGATTTACATTTCACGCTTAATCGTCATTGGTTGCAAGATTACACGATCCTATACCTTGTATAGTTGCTGAGATATTCAAAACTTGGACGTAAAACTTCATCAGGGGACGCGGACGCGTACGCGCGCATAGACGAATAGGATACTCCAATAGTTCTTCTCAACTTCGTTGAGGTTAACTGAAAATTTATTCCAAAACCCGCTGTTAAGAAAAGGTTTAGTCATCAAACCCGTTACTAAGCGGAAACTTCTTAAAAAAAATATTAAAAATGTTAAATAAAGTACAAAGTTGTAGAACATCTAGGTCCACAAATCAAGAGAGGTTTTGCCAAAAATACAGCTAATTTAATCAATTCCTGGAGTAAACAATCGAAAAAATCCAAAGTGTTGTAAATAGTTAATTTATAATTATGACAACATCAATGATCAATTCGTGTCAACACAGCCTATATGATATTAGTTTTTTGTTGACTGATTTGACATAAATAAGGTCGTTAGATTATTACCTACTTAATAAGTACTCTTCATAACGTAATATCGTCAATATTTGACAGGTTCCTTAACCTCAATCTAAATGCACATCTCGGTTATTTTCGCTTTATAAATTGAACAGTTGGTAAGACTCATAAAATAAGTTTAAAAGCAAATACATAGGAGAAACTTCAATATGTTAAGTTGCATAATTCAGATGTATTAGAATTTTTTATGTCACGGTTGGGTTTTAAATGTTCGGCGCTGAGCGTTCCTGATGAAGAAAGAAAAAGCGCTTCGGACGCTTGAAATTTATAAAGAGTTGTTTTCGTTTGTTTTAAATATTTCAGTAGATTCGCAACATCATACAACGAAGTCTGTGGACAATTTGTGACTGCGTTGTCAGATGGCATAAACATATAACGCTTATACTGGTTCTTAGACTGGCAATCTCTAACAATGCACAACACTTCTTCGTGAAAATAATAAAAATAGAAAACTTTCGGTTATTCCGAGAAGAAATCATGATCTTTTGTTCATGAGCAGTAATAAGATCTCTGGTAACACCAAAACCACAAGGACCATGTGTTAAAGTCGAGTTTTCACATCTGTTAGATTTAAGATTTAATATACCGTCTCGAAGTAAAATAAAATAAGGAGATGTGGTATGATGTCAAATAAGATAACTATACAACAGATTCAAAATGACGTGGATTTATTTAGGAACTATAGGTCACCATACGGCTTTCAACAATGAGCTAAACTTAAACCGTATATTCAGCTATAAAGGGTCCCAACATGACGAAATTGGAAGAATTTAAGAATACATAAGGTAGAAATTAGTCTAACTACAACTAAAAGCTAAGGCAGCTAATAATAAGAAGATTACACATTACAGGAAGTTTATAATTTATTTGATGACATGGGAGAAAATACAAATATAATTACTAAAAGGAATACGCATATCTATTACTTAATAATTCATTTGATATCATAGAAAAAAATACAAATATGTTACACAAAACATCTACTTTATAATGTGGTTGATTACACTAAGAAAATACAAATAAAATCACTAAGAATTTTACACAAAACATCTACTTTATAATGCAGGTGATAACACTAGAGAAAAAACAAATAAAATAACTAAGAATGTTACACATAACATCTACTTTACAATGTGGTTGATAACACTAGAGAAAATACAAATAAAATAACTAAGAATGTTACACATAACATTTACTTTATAATGTGGTTGATAACACTAGAGAAAATACAAATAAAATAACAAGAATGTTACACATAACATCTACTTTATAGTGTGGTTGATTACACTAGAGAAAATACAAATAAAATCACTACAAATGTTACACAAAACAATTACTTTATACTTCATTTCATGACATAGGAGAGAAAAAAATATAAACACTACAGTTCATTTAGAAGTCGTAATCTTGCACTTGCTATCTTTTAATTTTTCTCTGTGTTCAACGGCTCCTGGAACATAAAGTTTAAAAATGACAAAAAAAGAAATGCTTCCAATTGTCTTTCAAGTCTAATTTAATTTAAGTGTGAATGTTTACATGTATTACAAAACGAGATGTTTGAGTTTTTAGCATGAAGGAAGTGTACAAGTATTCACTCCTTAAGAAAGAATTTACTTGACGTAATTACTAATTACAAGTAATATTTATTTTCTGTAACCAATCATGGTTTTCAATTTATCTATGATATTACCAATTCATTAAACCATTTGACTTTGTATTTCGTCAAAATCGACATGCACAATGCTAGTGACGTTGCCCTGGTAATATAAATACAACTTTTATACGCATTTAAAATACAGAAAAAGCTGAATTGAACAAGAGTTTAGTTGCTATGTAATAATTTTGTTAATATGGTCCATATTTTTGCCCCGACTTATTCTAGTGTACTTATAATTATATAAAAAAGATTTATATAGCCATGGTAATAATATTTTAAAATAGAAATAAAATAGAGTGGAATTTCCGTATAATATGTATAATTATCATAATTTCTTACACAATTACTTAAGGTCAAGGAACTGTAAATTAGTTATGTCACATATTTCGGTAAAATTTAAAATACAACTTTGGCTTTACCAAATTTAAAAGCTGATTGCTGATTAAAATTATCGAAAAACACATATCTAATGACGGATTTTCCTTGTTTCAAAACTGCAGACGCTTACCATAAATAAAGGCAATAGTAGTAAATCGCTGTTCGAAATTCATAAATCGATTGAGAAAAAAACAAGTCCGGGTTACAAACTAAAACTGAGGGATACACATCAAATATAAGAGGAGAACTACGACACAACAAAAACACAACAAAAACGCAGTATCGCACTTTTGGGAGTCCATGCGATTTTCTCAATTTTTGTTGGTTCCCTTGTTATCGATTTATTAGATTTGAACATCGATAAACTACTGCTGTCTATGTTAACAGAACGAACGAGATATGATATAGTAATAATGTTGTCCCTTGAATTATTAAATGACAGATTCTTCAATCGTTTCAAGATTAGGTTTTTAATGATATAATATCTACTGTGCACAATATAATGCAGGAATGACAGTTACTATGGTTCCAGAAACATGTCGAAATTTTAAATTCTACTTAAAATTGTCGTTTGGTACAACAATTTTTGGAATTAAGTATGAGAAACTCACTTCCCATCAAACAATATTTTACTCACAGCAACATCTTTATTTAAGACATATTGTTGGAAAATACATGTATCTATTTGGCACGGTTGTTGCTCATATCTTTTTTTTCATTAATGGAATAAACTTAAAAACTTAAAGCAAGTTCATAAGAGGAACTTAATTATTATTTAAAATTTTCAACAGATGTATGTTCTGATAGCAGAAACTAATTACACCCTCTCTGGTAAGTTGACAAATAAATATATAAATGTCCATTAAATAGTATGAAGATTAGGAGACCAACAAACAACATTTGCAATTTCTTTTTTTTTTCTATTCTATTTACCTTTACAGCAGCATAATAACAAAAAGTAAACAACCAACAACTATACCACAAATTTTCCTGAAAAAAAAGGTTGGATAAGAAAATAAAGAAATGCAACATACATTTTGGGTCTTGATAGAGAATTTTAGGTTTTTGACTTACTTAAACGTAATACACCTTACTATTTCAAAAAAAAAATATTATTATCTCCCGTTGACCATTGAACTTGTAAATTAAACAAAAATCGTATATTTTGACGTACGTAATACACCTAACTTGGTCGTTGTAAAATCGTGTTTGTCTCCCTTTCTCCATTTAGTTCAAATCTATTTAAAACAGCACAGATCACGAGCGAGAGTTTACACAGTCTAGTCTTATATCTGAACATACGAAAAGGCAAATTTTGTTCGCAGTGGACACAGGTAATTTTTGAATGATATACAGTTAACCATTTTTCCTATTTTCGTAGATTAAGGACACAAGTTCAGTAATTTAGGTAAATATATACATGTAGGTTGTAATGTTTTTCTAATATTAGGCATATTAAAATACCCGGATTATTTGATTATCAGAACGTTTTGGGGGTTATTTTATTTGAGTGCCATTAACATGATTAAGGGCTTTTGTAAATATTTGTGAGAATACCAAACATGATTTTTTTGTCTTATTGATAACTCAGCTTTACTTTTTTTAAATGAATGATCTGTGTCGTGTGTGCCATTAAAAATGATCTATTAAGAAAAGCAGTTTGAAAAGTTTTACCTGGAAAGTGCATTATATCAAGTGAAAAAACATATCGCGGTGTGATAAATTTGCCATGTTTAGAATCCCTTGAAGGGCGCAGATTCAAGAGTGTCAACAGGGGTGTTACGAACGGACGCACCGACGGACAGGCAGAGGGATTGAAGGTAGCATTGTGTTACTATTAATATCGCTGGGGAAAGGTAATTAATCTTAAAAAAAGAATGCTATCGCGGGAAGAGAAAAAGTCGGCGTGTCGGCAAAAAGAAATTCCAAGGCGAAATGAAAGTTATCCAAGGCGAGATACGGTATCAAATGACGCAAAATGGGTAATAATATCTTAACCATTATGTCAACGAAGCGTTATTTGATTCTAAGATTATTGGATCCGCCCCTTTTACCACAATCATCGTATTTACTATAAAGGTATATAGGATTTTTTTTTCTGAGACAAGTGCCTGTGTATGTCGAGTAGGGTTTCGGAAATGGTCATCTTTATATTTTTTTCCTGTTGCATTGCCTTAAATATTGCCAAACTAGGCATAAGCGATAATCAAAGCTGAATGAAGCAGCATATTTGATTGGTAAATCCGTGTATCTGCTCAAAGGAGGTCCCAAAGTAAAGACTTACCTAGCTCTGAAATTACCCTTTGTATTAGTTTCTGACAAATGCATTTGAATTTCTTTCAATCAAAGGAAAAGATGTTATAGTATTTTAAAGTTAAGAGTAATACATCAATAGCAAGAAATCATAATTTAGTGTATTTAAAATAACTTTAAGAAAGATACATTCAAATTCAAATATACGACATACGTTTCCTATAGTGAGAGTTCAATTTCTATTGTTTTAATTCGGGTAGCTATCAGACTATTTCTGCTTCATGATAATCCAGACAACAACAAACTTGGATATATAGCAAAATCGTGGTTCTGAAGTGGTAGATTAGTAACGGGGGCGGATCAAGACATTCCAAAAAAGAGGGGTTCCATAATAAAAGAAAAAAACAATTGTTGTTTACTTTTCCGTAATTTTCACGTAATTTTTCTAATTTTCAAAAAAAAAGTAGGATCGAATCACAGACCCCTCACCCCTGGTACAACCACTGAGTAAACTATACCAACGGTTACTTTTTATCTGTAGTACACGATAAGCTAGCTTGCATGGTATGCAGGCAAACTACCGAGTATTACGAACAATATTTGACTTTCTTGTGATCAACTGAAATTGATGCGCAAAATTCCATAAGTGATGACCCTGACTTTTGACATTTTTAGTTGGCTTTTGAGTTCATTTTCTTTTCTGAGTCATAACTTTTTTTAAATTTTTTTATAGATAATATTTCATTTTTGTTCAGTATATCTTTTTTCCTCGATGTATCTAACAATTATTGTGTTTCAAGTCATATAACCATGAGACAAAAGTTAAAAGTTATTAAACTCGTTTTTATTCTAAATTTATGAAACTTGATGCACAAAGATGTTTTTGTAGTGACGACGTAAAACATGACACAAGTGACCAATAATCAAACTGAAACGGCCAAATCGAACTGAAAAGGCTTAAACATGTTTAAATGACTGAAAAAAAAATATTTAGATTTTTCAGTTTTTACAGTCCAATTTTCAGATCACAGTTCTTGCTGTAATAATATCAGTTGAGTCTGTTTAAGTTTTTGCTGATCACTTAACTACACGACTTGGTATCAAAAAATGAAAATGACTCGTCCAATCTTAATTTACCCCATGGACTGTAAATTGAAAAATGGACTGAAAAGGTTTTTAAATCTTGACAATTTTATCTTGTAAGAACGAAATAAAAAGAAATCTCGCATGGCCTTATTCTGCAACCGTAGGAACATCTTGTTCTTAATCAAGATCATTAATAAATTCAGCCATTCTCTTTGCAAGTCCAGCACACAACTCAACCTGTCAACCTTTTTAGTATCAACCTGTCGACCTGTTAGTCTGTCAACTTATGTACACATATAAACCGATTTACTTCTTAAGATAAACCGGTTTACTCCTCTGTTCTTCCGATGGAACTACAGTACCGTTTATCCTACTTGACCCGACCTTATGAGTTATAGTCACGTAGTTGAACTCCTTTCTGTCAGTTCGATAGAACGCCGACCATACAGACCTATTTGTATTTATATTTTGGTATAGTGGGGTCTATAAATGTGTTATTTTCTAAATGTTCTTCCAAAATTTGTTTCATCATAAATTCGATAGTCCTGCCTGTTTATTTCAAATTTGATCGAGGCCCCTCCCAAGACAGGGATTTTGATGCGGAAATTTTGTTTTGAAAATTATCTTATGAGCAAAATTTAGGCCTTTTTTAACTCAAGGTGCTGGCTAACTGTGAAATCAATTTCATTCAGTCAAAATCAGGACCAGAAATATCTTCATTTTAAATTCAAAGCACCCACCCCACACCCCCGAAAATCGAATGGTCCGTGCCTGATACATGAATGTTATTTTAGAATTAAAACAATATTATAACTATCTGACTGAAATCTGAAATGCAAAAACCGGCGAAGGGAGACAACCACAATTTATATTATGCCTTATAAGTCCGTATAATTATAAGCCTAAGTTACTTGCGTTAACTAACGTAAGTTTCGTTTGAAACTTAAAATTCTCTAATAGCATTTCTTCACTGTAAAGTTACAAATGAGTGTGGGTAGTAAGGCCTTATTATGTCCAAACATAAGTACAAATTGAAAAGTTACCATACATATTCTTTATTTTTCTACACTAAGGCACAAGGTGTTCAGAAAATAAAAAACAATTTTACATTGAACAATTACCATGGCAACATACAATGACGAAATTTTTAAATTGAAAGTTAATTGTTCAAATGGTTCCCATTTTTTTTTATTTTCCCACCTTTTGCAGAAAAACTGTGAAAGGTGGAAGATAACACTTGCAATAATATATTATTTTTTCAACTTCTTAAGTGCTATCCTAACACAAGGTAACAGCGAGCTCAAATTACAACAATGAAAATAAAACTATTTTTTTCTTTTAACAGATGTCTTGACATTTTAATATGTTGACTGATAAGAAAATAAATTTTACCCATCTGAGAGTGCTGTGCTTCCAGCTTTTTGGGATGATGGGCTTCCAGCTTTTGGGGGTGCTGTGCTTCCAGCTTTTGAGAGTGCTGAAAGATATATAGTTAATAACGTTATACATATATTTATTTTATATTTAAAAATTCAATACAAGATAGAATGATTATCCGCTTTAAAATTGCAAACTTTTATTGTTTTATGTTTACTGCGAAGAAATAAAAGATGAAGGGAATACGAAATTAGACAAAAATCAAACAACACCAAATACATATAGGTTCATTACTTGGTTCCAATAAATAACAGGCGCCTCAACAATATGTCAATCTCCAAAATACCGCAGCGAATCTAAATATTAACGGTATAGATTGAACAGAGGCTATAAAAATCTGTCATTAATAGCAAATTCCCCGTATGAAATCCAAAAACAAACCCAATAAGATATCACAAAAACAGCAACCTGACAATGTTCTCTGATCTAGAAATAGGGCATGAACATGTTGCAGGGTTATATAATGTATTCTCTTACCTCTCTTGAGTTTGTGGAATATCGAACAAGAACAGAAAACAAAGTTGAATACAAATCAGTCCTGAAAATCACTGAGCTCTTATATAACGTTATAGCTAATAACTAAAACATAAGTTCATGTTAATTGAATTGGCATTAGCTGTCAAATTTCTGTTCACCAATTTGACTCAAATTCTCATATTTGATTTATAACATACTAACATACCCAAATTATGAAAAATCTAAAATAAACAATTTACGATGCATGGGCTCGATAATATGTATCAGCATTTCGAGTGTATTTTAGTCTTGACGCAATCTTATTAACTATCGAGGTGGCCTCCGAACACTGCCGACGGGCATTTAACCCGATATGAACATAAATATAGATACAGATAGATAGCGAACACGTGAAAATGGATTTTTCTAGGTCTGTTTGATTTCATATTATAGGTTTATGAAATATGTTTATCATCGTTTTTACCTGTATAAGAAATAGTCTTTGTTCATCGAAACAGTCAACCAAATGGTTTACACTTGTTTCACTTTCAATGTTGACATTATCTTTCTTTTAATAGCTGAATACGCCTAATTTATGCGTAACCCATCTCTAGCTAAGGAGTTAAATTGAAGGTAAAATGAATACAGATTGAATGATGTCGAATTTTTTACTTCTAAGTGAGTAATTCATCAGCAATGTTTCTTATAAAAATAAGGAGATGAGGTATGATTGCCAATGAGACAACTATTCACCAAAGTTCAAATGAAGAGGATATAAGCAATTATAGGCAACCGTACGGTCTTCAACAATGAGAAAAACCAATACTATATGATCGGCTATAAAAGGCCCCGACATTACCTAAGTAGTGCAGTTGAAAAATTCTAATAAAAGTTGTAGTTAACCTGCCCGAGAACACATTTATTTTTTTGTAGACAATAAATTAAAATAAAAAATCGCTCCTGCTCTATCTCAAAAATATTTTATTAGCTCTGACTAAAACTATGGACAATCTATGTTGAGGAGATCTATACTTAAGTATGTCAGGTTCAGACATACTAAATTTTCACCTTATCAAACTTAACCAAATCACTACCTTACCTAGAAAAATACATCACCCAAAGTTATTTAAAAAACATAACATTTTATCCGCCTAATTTATATTTCCTGCATAAAATATAAAGAAATAAAATTAGAAAGTATATGAACAATAGCTTATTTTGACAAATTTGAACCAAACTGGCTCCTAAAAGCGAATTAGCATTTCACTATTTCACTTTCATTGATAATTGAACAAAAACAAATCATTTTTTTATATCTCGTTGCTAATGCCCCTTTAACAGCGTACAATACAGTATCACAAAATAATCGCAGTTTTACCAATTATGCTCAGAGAACTTTACCTGTTGGTATGAAACTATGCATTCATTTAAACTTCTTCGTGATATTCTGTTTAAAGTAATAAGCAAACACTTCCGCAATAAATCGAGAGTACTGTTGAAGACATTTTGACCTTGCCATTTGATTTTAGACTTGCATAAAGGGCATATGATTACCTCTATTTCACTACATTTTCTATCTTTAATGAGTATATATTGTCAATTTGCTGTCCCATTGACAATTGTCTTACATTTCCAGTTCATAAATAGAAGATGTAGTCTAGATGTCAAAAAGTTTACATTTATATAACATTAACAACTGAAAATCAAAATTCTTTTACCCTACACCTTGTTTATTAAATTAGAAAGTATAAGAACAAAGTAATTTACGTTAGTTCTAAGCAGTTATGGTCTTGAAAATTTATTCACAAAAACGAAGTAACTTACCACATGTGATTCCTTCATACTCCGTAGGACATGAACACACAGCATTGTTTGCAGAATTATTTACAGAACAGGTTCCACCATTTTTGCATGGATTAGGGCTGCATGCTAGATAAGTGTAATAAACCAATCAATCAACTAATTATAAATGTTCAAATTTCCTTTGTTAGTCTTTTACTCATTAGTGAAGATAGTCTCATGGCAATCAGAATCAAAATCAGCATTCTTTTTTCACATTCAAAATTGATTGCAACTATCAACCATTTTAATTTTTTCTATATAAAAGATAAATTGAAAGAGTTGGTCCTGTGTTTTTTGCATACAAATGAACAGCCTACGTAGATAACAGTTTCTTGTCTTAGGGAGGGACACATCATACTTTATACAAAATCATTCTGATTCAAACAAAAAAATCTCTGAAACTGACTTTATTTGTTCCGTTTGGAGGACGTGTTTTTCAACAAACAATTGGCATTCCCATGGGAACCAACTGTGCTCCTCTTCTTGCTAACTTATTCCTTTATTTAAATGAGGCTGATCTCATACAGGAACTTCTTCGGAAGAAAGAAAAGAAGTTAGCAATTTCCTTTAATTTCACTTTCAGCTATATAAATGATGTTCTCTCACTAAATAATTCAGAATTTGGTGACTATGTTGAACGCATCTATCCCATCGAACTTGAGATAAAGGATACAACAGATACAGTTAAACCTGCCTCATATCTTGACTTACATCTAGAAATTGGCAATGATAGTTGGTTGAAAACAAAACTTTACGACAAAAGAGATGATTGCAGCTTCCCAATTGTGAACTTTCCATTTATATGTAACAACATTCCAGCAGCGCCTGCATACGGAATATACATCTCCCAGTTGATATGATATTCCTGGGCTTGTATTTCCTGTCATGAATTCCTTGAGAGAGGGTTGCTGCTCACAAGGAAGCTATCAAACCAAGATTTCCAAGTGGTGAAGTTTAAATCGTTCCTTCGTAAATTTTACGGACGCAATCACGAGTTGGTTAACCGTTATAGAATATCTGTTTCACAGATGACAACGGATATGTTCCAATTGTCGTAACTACAATTCTTTTCCCTTTTCCCGAATTTGGCCTACCGAATTAGACTTAAAACCGGGTTTGTACTTACATGAGCAACTTTACGGGTGTCACATGTGGAGCAGGATAAGCTTATCCTTCCAGAACACCTTAGATCACCCCCAGTTTTTGGTGGGGTTCCTGTTCCTCAGTTTTTGGTTTTCTATGTTGTGTTTTGTGTACTGTTGTTTGTATGTTTGTCTTTTTCGTTTTTAGTCATGGCGTTGTCAGTTTATTTTCGACTGATGAATTTGAATGTCCCTTTGGTATCCTTTGCCTCTCTTTTCATATAACTATACTGGTAAATGATATTGTAGCTTTTGTTTTTATAAATCATGCATATGCATGTGTATATTTTAATGAATTGTATTTAGTAACATGTTGTTAACACCAGTAAATTACAATCTTTTAACCTTTTTCCAGTCAAATATTATCTTCATAATCGTCAAACCTTGAAAAAATCAGAATTCTTATATAGAATATAGTTTCTCATTTAGACAGCTAATGCAGGTTACAGGGTAACTGTTTCTAAACACAGCTATGGGAAAAGGGTCACACTCCAGTTTAATTTCCATTTTAGAAAAATGTTACTGGTTACTATCCAACTGTTTAAGAAGGAAACCTATTGTACCTTTGATTTAAATAGATTACCGTAATCATTGTACTTAACCAAGGCATTATCTATATTTTTTAGACACTTTAACTTCAGGAGATAACGTTGAAGATGAAACATAACCTAATTTACAAAAAGGTAAATTAGAATAACAAGTTCAATCCGGAGAATATTCAGACCATGTTCACTTCAGCTTTCATCTATCTATATAGAGTTATTATGCTATGGTTATTTTTTGTATTTTTGTATTTCATTTTTGCGTATATGCTTTGTCTATATGCCATTTTGTTGTTGTTTTTCTTTGTTGGCATACTTGTTTGTTTTTATAGTGATTAAGATTATAACACAATGTTGACTGCTGTAACCCTATTTTTGACATTTTTACTTTTTATGTCTGTTTGTTTTGTTCACACATTGTTGTCAATAAAATGGAATTTTATGCCACTGTCATATAAGTGAGAGGTTTAGCTAGGTTTAAAACCAGGTTTAATCCACCATTTTCTACATAAGGAAATCAAGAGATTATTTCGCAATCTCGTTAGTGTGTATTCCGAAACGTACTCAAAGTTTTAACACGCATGGAATTCATGCATTTTTTTTTTATTTTTTTTTATTTGTTCGTGTCTGCTTACACAAATAACATCAAATGTTAGATTGATACAATACACCGCCTGATATCGATTGTAACTGTTAGTACAAAACAGTATGAAGGAAAAGCGATGAGGATCTTTAGGTATGCAAAATCGTGTTTTCTTGGGGACATCGGTTTAATTTTCAATTATATTGGTTTTTTTTTCTGCATATATTGGGCAAACTTCCCCTGAATTTGTTTCGCTGTCTGGGACGAAATCAAAACGTTTTAAGACCTACTCAGTGGAATTCGAAGTCTATATATATGATATATAATTCATGATACTTAACTCGTATTCAATAATGTTTTGTATATGCTTATATATTCAGTGATATGTTGCTGTTAACGAAAATATTGCAAATTTTGCACAGAAGGAAGACTTTAACCTAAATAAATTATGATGTATCTGAAAGAAATTTAAGTTTTTAACTTCCAATAAAATGTTGGTTTTGGTTAAGAAAGTCCTTCTCGCCAGATTTGGATAATTGCTCAAATTTTCCTAAAACCTAGCATGAATGCATGCAGTTTTGAGTCATCTTTTGGCGTAATAACTCTCAAGCGAAGTATTCGGAAATACGCAAAGATATTGATAATGCCTAACAGTTAACATATGAATCTAATAATGTGTGTTTTGGTAAAAGATTGAAGGACTTTTGAAAAATGCCCCTGTTTTGATATGAATTAATGGAAAATGATCATACCCCCTTTTTATTGTTGTAAAAGGGAAGTGATAAAAAAGTTTATTTAAATCGAAATAAAAAAAAAATCTTTATCATGTATTGTTAGAGTTAAAAAATATATTGTTGTTTCTAGAAAATAAACATAATACCCTTCCATCGAGCATCACCCACGAAAGAATGGGCGGTGCCTTAGAGATGGAACAAATCTGTTTAATAAATATGATGACGTAGATTTTTTTACTAGCCTATACCATTATTAGGCTGGATGGTTTGCTACAAGATAATGTAGGGTTTCCATTCAGCGACTCCTCGTGTGATTGAATTTTGTTTGCTGTAAAGAATAAACTGCATGTGGATAACTCGGAATCTTTTGATATTTTACATTTATCACGCCATGCATAAGTTGTCCCACTTCTTTTGGATCTCTTACGAATCTCTCTTTTGATATTTTACATTTATCACGTCATGCATATATTGTCCCACTTCTTTTGGATCTCTTAAGAATCTGTCTTTTGATATTTTACATTTATCACGCCATGCATAAGTTGTCCCGCTTCATTTGGATCTCTTAAGAATCTCTCCTCATGGATTTTGTTTTTCTTATTATATTGTTATATATTTGTTATTTTTTGCACCCCTAAGGGTGAGTGGCGACTAGAAATATGGTAACTTTGGTCTATTTTCGTCAGTAAAATCCTTGCCAAAACGGGACTGCTTTCGTTTGGCCGTGCGAGATGTATAAGTACGCAACCACATCGGTCAGAATGGGGAATTAAATCCAATGTGTAAATCCGTGTAGAGATAGTGCCATACACTGCACGTTTAAAACACCTACAGCAACTCTTTGGGGTCCGTAGTGAGCTGTTGCAAGGGAGAATATCTGTCTCTATCCAATATACCTTCATTCTCCAGTGGTAGTCCAAAGTTTCTTGACCTTCATCCCGAAAAGCGTCTTTTACAAGATCCACTTATATTATCTATTGTTAATTTGTACTGGACTTTAAGCAAACATCGATAAATCAATCAATTTCCTTCCAATCCCCTTTCATCTCTCCTTAAGTAACGGAAGGGAGGAGTTTTGCATTATCAATATTTTTTTCTTCCCACGCTCGACAACCAAAACAACCTTTTCTCTTATACGCCAATTTGTTTGGTTATTTTAGTTGGTTACGTATTTGTAAGTTGTTTTACACACCAACATCAATTTAACCCCAGTTCTTTATACAATTATGTATTGTTCAATCAATGAAAATAATAACAACAAACTTTTGCACGGATGAGTACATGCGATGAGGTAACATATAGCATACGACAATTAGAGAAAGGTTCCGATTTAAGTATTCCTTAGTTAAGTGATGACTTAAGTAATTTTATGCATACGACTTAAGAATTTTACTTAACTAAGGGAATTCTTAGTGAAATATAAGTTTAAAGAACACTTACATTAAGATGTTCTATGCATACGGGTCCAGATGATCAAAGAATTATAATCAATGAGATGCTGACTTTGTTTTGATTTCAATTATGTCTAATTAAGTGTGAGATTTACATAATATTGCCCTAGGTTATGAATTTTAATCCATTGGCAGTTTTAATAACTTGTAATTAGAGAGATTATTAAAACAAAATGACAAATTTATGCTTGTAATTATAAATTTTAAATTTCCATCTTTAAAATTTGCAAGTTGTTCTACTTTTTTATATCTTTTTTCAGAGGAAACTTCCAACATTGTAATGAATCATATTCAAATATACCTGTTAATAATGAGTAAAGACAATGAAATCAGTATGACAGAAAAAAATTGCAAAACATAGAACGAATGAAATAAAATATAAAGAATTGATTGATGCAATGGTCCATGTCATTGCAAGAAATTTATCACCACTCACTCATGTTGATGAAAACCAAAATCTCATTTTTTTTTTAAATATTTCGAAACCACGGTAAGAGCTTCCATCTAAAAAAACACAATTTTTTGTCGACAGAACATTAGGAAACTATGCTTTATATGCTGTTTTTTTTGTAAAGTTCTAAATTAACTTTCTTTATAATTTTGTATCATGTAATTGACAGTAATCGAAAAATAATGTAATTTTAATTCCATTATTGCAATCGATTACATACGAAAATCAAAAATCCTTCAAAAATAATCGATTACATTTGACAGTAATCGTACACTTCCCTGGGTCTTATACATTATAGGCTTTCAAGTGTTGTTTTTGAGCGTTCCTGATGGAGGTTAATACTGAAATACGACAGTGTCAACGAGAGACTATTATATTTTGTTTAAGTATCATCAGGATATGCTTACCCTGTCGACGTACCCTTTGAGTGCATGTGATTCCCACAGTCTGATTTTGTTAAAATAATTCTTCTCTTCTTTATAGATTTACAAGATTTGAACATCGGTAAACTACAATCGCCTTTATTTATTTGAAGTCTTGAAACATTGCTCTGTAAAATCTATTGTAATGACTGTTTACCACACATGCAACTTAATTTGCAAACATGGGTGCAGTATTTTGTTTTGGAATAATTTTCAATAATAAAATAGTTTTTTGAAGAGATACTTTATCTAGTTTTCATTCGCAAGAGATGAATAAGCCATTTGAAATAATGAAAACATGTTTAATTTTATGGAAATTTATTTTTTATTAATCAAAGTTAAAGTTTCACGAGAATCGGAAAGAAATACTTTTAAAATACTGTTACAGTATACAAATAACAAAAACGTTACTAAAACAAAAAAATGTAGTTTATTAATTTATTATTTTTACAAATGCTTAACACTCAAAGTAAACGCGCTTTTACTTTGAAGTGAATATTTCAAGAAAAAAAACGAAAAAGTGCGAAATATGTGGTAAACGCCCGTTAACTTCTGACTAACTGGACATAAAGAAAAGAATAAAATAACAAAAATACCGAACTCCAATTCAAAACGGAAAGTCTCAAATGACAAAAATCAAAAGCTCAAACATATCAAACGAATGGAAAACAACTGTCATCTTCCTGACTTGGTACAGGCATTTCCTTATGTAGAAAAGGTGGAATAAACCTGGTTTTATAGCTAGCTAAACCTAGAAAACGCATGTTATTCGAGTAGACTTTAGAAATTTTCATTTGGACCGCGTAAACTTAATTATAGTTTACTAGGAAACGCGGAATTGGGGTAAACAAAAAAGTATATGTTATGCTTGGCCTAACTGTAGTAATTTAATTGAAAATATGAAGTCAAGTTATAACCGGTGTTGTAAAGTTATATGTACTTTTTCTGAAAAATTCTCATTGTTCCTTTTTCCTAAATAATGTGTCAAGCACCATATTGTCCCAAAGTCTAAACAAATTATTGATTGATGTGAAATAAAAGCCCATACTTACGATCGGATCCCATTTCTCCACCTCCTCCAGAAATGATGACAAATATTATTGTAAAACACAAGGCTGCATTGACACTTTTCATTATGATTTTTGTTTTCTGAAGTTTTACCCTTTACTTAAAAAGAAGTTAGCTCGACTATGTTAATATCTTACTTGATCTGTTTTTGTATGTTTACTTGGAGGCAAGGTTGGGCGAGTCGCAAACAAACAACATGAAGACCCATTTCATTAGCCGAAAGATACACGAAGGTGGTAACGTCGTCATTTCGAGAAGTTTTTGGTAGTCCAATAGTGATTTTATAATGATTTCGTGCAGTGTGGCGTTTAATTACTTTTTAATATTCTGAAATAAAAAGTTGCCACTTTTGCAAATTGATTTTATATTTATTACAATTTAGTTTCATGGTTAAGTTCACTAATGTAAATGTTTGGTTAATGTTTGTCGTGGTTTATTTCTGTAATTCATATATCACATAGGAAATAGAATAAGTTAGCAAAATAAACAAGAGCGTGGTACAAATATTCCAATAATTTGAAGTTAAAAATGTTGTTAGAAATACATGGATAAAACGCGGACAGGGCAAATGAAATCAGCTTTACTGTTTTTAAGTATTTTTTGACTTGGGAAATGCCAAAAACCTTTTGAAATTAGATTGAACAATATTATTAATTTTTATTTCAGGATGGAGTTCATCTGTCAATATTTTGAGCTGAAAAAATGTAGATTTCTTTTCAATTCTGGGAACAATGGGAAAATAAGATTTTGTATGATTGCCAATGATTTAATTATCCACCAGATACAAAATGAAGTAGATGTTAGCAAACATAAGTTAACTGTTAGGAACAAAAGATATCGACATGACAAAATGTAAAACCGTTTCAACGAGAAAACCAACGACAAGACTCGTGACGTACAACAGCATGATCACATCTTCATTACTAAAAAACAACAGGAAATGAGCAGTAGATGTTAAAAACATCATACAGAATTTTGTTCGAAGAATGTTTTAGTCAGCAAATGATGATGTAACATTGTCCACCAAACTTCTCTTCGAAATATGTTAACCAAAGGGCCGACGAACTGTGAGCCTCAAATATCAATAGGAAGCACAACTTTAAAATATTATGGACTCATTTGAAGATTATGCCAGGCAATAGGCTAAACTCGAGGAAGAATACGTGGATACTCTTTCTGAACGGATAAAGGCTAAGAGGTCGATAATATGAATTAGAACTAAAAGACTGAATGGGTCTATGAACACTCATGCTGTATCTATCTTCAAAAACCCAAACGTTGCTAAACGCCTGTCATACATCTATGACAAATATTATGTTGTCCCAAATCGTTTTTGTGTGTAAATCAAATTACATAAACTGCATGAAAACGGAAGTAGGCATTGACAAATAACTTGAAAACTCAACATATACGTCCACGACTCATACCAAAGAGGAAATCTTGAACAAGAAAATGTCTGTTTTACGTCCCCTTGAAATTTCAAACAACGATAAAGAACTTGATCTGCCTTCACTGTACTGGATACAAAAATAACAAAAGTTTCCTTACACTCAACATTATATTGATTGGTCTGCGCTCCACGAAACCACTTTCCAAACTATTAACATTACGGCTATCATCAGTCAAAACCTGGCTTCTGAATAACAGAACAACTACCTACTCTATGGGCGATATGGGTACTAAAAAATTCGAAAGATTTGTTAGAGTACGAACCATCTAAGTATCTTTCATTTTGCAATAGTATAAAAGCATTTTAACTTCTCTAATCTTTACATTAGTATTTCTCATTTTAAACTGAAGGACAAATTGAAAGAACTAGTTTCATAAAAATATACTCTGATTCAAACAAAATGTTCTCTGAAACTGACTACAGACACTTGATTTTCTTATTGACATTATGTTTGTTACGTTTGGCCGACACGTTTTTTTTTTAATTACAATCGGCATTTCTATAGAAGCTTTTTGTGTTCCTCACCTTACTGAATTAATCCTTTATTCATATGAGACGAACTTCATACAGGAGCTTCTCAGAAAGAATGAAAAGAAGCAAGCTATATCTTTCAATATCTTTTAACTTCACGTTCCGCTATAAAGATGATGTCCTCTCGCAAAATAGTTAAAAGTTTGGTGACTATGTTGATCTCATCTATCCCAGATACGGTTAAGTTTGCCTAATTATATCTTTAAAATGACGATGAGAGTCTGTTAAGAACAAAACATTACGACAAAAATTTATGATTTTAGCTGCTTTATTGTGATTTTTCCATTTCTATGTAGCAACATTCTAGCAGCGCGTGGATAGGAAGAATATAACTCCCAGTTGATACGTTACATTAGAGCCTACGTTTCCGATCATGATTTCCATTATAGAGGGTTGCTGCTGTTTGACTATCGTTAGTGTCAACTTGATTTCATTTTTATAGCGATTCGTTTGATTTCGTCTGAGGTCTCAAGTATTAAGCCGTTACCGTCATAACTGAATAAAAATATTCCCTGATTTGTCAAAGAAATTTGTGTAATTATGAAGACGTTTTAGGCAATGTCCTTAATATGAATTGATAAAATGATTATATTAACAACACGACGGTTCTCACTAGAGGAGCGAGAACTGTTACATGTACGAAGCACCTGAGTTCACCCGAAGTTTTTGTAGAATTTGGTTTGCATTTCGTCGTTTTTCGTTTTGGCCATGGTGAAGTCTATTTTTTCTTCGACTTATGGAATTTAATTGCCCCGTTTGTATTTTTCGCCTATTGTTTTATTAATAAAAGTAGCATTATACACATGCATGTATTACATTTAAAACTAATTCAAAAATTTTAAGTATAGACCACCCCTTTTTCGTTTCAATATTTTAAAGCACTCAGTGTACACGGATGTCTGTGAACCCAATTTCAATTTCAATGCAGGTCAAACTTTTTTTAAAGATGAAAATCTATTACATCATCGTTGTCTTTTATACTCTTTACTTGTATAGGTATTATAAAGTACATGCATATCAGTGCGAATCTCATCCAAACACATTATAAACCATCTGAAATGATCTATTTATGTCATTAGGAATGAATTATTATTTATTACTAAAATTTTTTTTTTGAAATCGCCAAATCACAATTTACTACACGTATAACAAATCTGTGTTGGTTGGTGTATAATGTAAACACTGTCTTGTTGTTTTCTGTTTTACTTTGTCACGACAGATGAAACTAACAAAATGTATGCATATTTGAAAGAATTTATTAATACATAAGTATTTTGCAATTTCAGAGACAGATATATGTATTGCTCTGATCAAACCGTTTCTATTCTCATTATTCAGTGTATGTATCACTGTACTTTTTACAGCGAAGATGAATTATGTAATTTTAATGTGATGGTGATCAAATCTCGGAAAAGTAAAAAGATTGTGGAAAAGTAATATTTCCCAAGAGTACACATAAATATAACCGTCATTAGTGCAAACCGTTACAGAAATTTGGTGCGATCTTACATGTTATAAAATCACGACAGCAAGATGTTGGCTAGTTATCCGTATATTTATAATTTCAATGAGATGCCCCAGCTGATGAACAAATCTGTCTTTTTTTCTCTTTAAGTGAAACAAAAAGGAAACATTTTTCACTATTGATATCTTTTCGGTGCCTCTTATGGGCGAATTTGTCATATATTTCAGTGTCTCTTTTCCAAATGATTACATCGAAATTATTTTACAAAGTTGTTCTTCATCGTCCAACCCCGAAAAGGATTGAAATAATAAAATGTACTATCAATAGACAGAAACGTCAAGTATTTACTGATGGATATTTTTTATCAAACCAATTTCTTCTTTAAGTTTAACTTTTCATTTTATGAATTTATTGCTATACAAAATACCAGCAGTCTTATAAAACCATACTAAAACGGTATAAAATATCTAACGTAGTAATTGAATGATTATTGTAAATATTATTTGCGTTTTTTGTGAGTTGCAAGGATTTTAGAATTGAAACCAAAAGTATCTTTTTTTCTCACTCACTGCAATTTATAAATTTTAGAAACTAATCTATTTGTGAGTTAGTGCTCATATGTGCATATACTTTTTTTGTAATTTTCATTAACTGTTTAAACCTGTGGTACATGATATAACATTAATAATTATATTATATTAATGATAAATTGAGTTTCAGTTTGATAATAAATGATAATAAATATAATGATTTTAATGAATATTCCCGTGGTCGGTTAGTATCTATTATTAGAATAAAATCTTTTAACAGAAATATCGTTTTTTTAATTTTTCTTCTTACTTCCAACATTTGCTTGAGTTTGATGGAAATACAAAATATCACGTAATGAACGATCAGAAATTATCAGTTTATTCTTTTCCCGGGTAATTAAGTCGTTATATTCTTTTGTTCAATGATGGCTACCTCGCGAGTGGGAGAGTCGATCATACGGAGTGATTGAATTATTCCGGCTTGTTTATTCTGGGACATTATATTTTGTCATTAAATACTACACACACAACGCGTACAGAAACTACAAGGACTAACCAAGATATGCGAGTTGATTGATATTTTTGTTAATTTGTAGCTTAAACACTTATTTGTATATTTTTCTTATATTTATCAAATTTTTACATATGTCAAGTTGATAATTTAAAAAATAAAAAGATGAAAGTTAAATTGATTATCACGGATCTTATCCTTGTTGTACAAATGTATGATTATAACAGTTTATGTATAATTTCAATATCAAGTACATTATTAAAAGTGCATTAGCTACGACATATTAAAACGAAATTGTTCAATCATTTATGAAGTGAAATAGTGAAATAATATTTCGCTTTTAGCAACCAATATTGTTCAATTTTTACCATTTGGTTGACTGATACGATCCACAAAATCATTCTTATACAGGTAAAAACCAAGATAAACATAACCTAAAATATGAAATCAAACAGACCTAGAAAAATTGAATTGCACGTTTATGCTGTCTATTTTTTTATATTTATGTTTATATCGGGTTTCTATGACCGTCGGCATTCCTCGGGGGTCATATCGATGGTTAATTAGATGGCGTCTAGACCACAATTCAAACAAAATGTTGTTACATATTATTGAGTCCATGCATTGTAAAATGTTTATTTTAGACTTTTTATGATTTCG